TGATAAATGATGGAAAGTGGCTCGGTGAGAATGGATCCCATCAGGCCTCATAGAGACTCGTGTGTGTCCAAGTGATGTAGCAGGTCACTGACCATTTCCCCTTGGATTATGGGGGCTTCATTCTGCTCCCTGTCCTAATCTTCCAGCTCAGGGGGCTGGGTACCCAGAGAACAACTGGTCTTACTATTAAAGACTGAGGCAAAGAAGGCATTAAGTACCTCAGCCTTTTTGTCATCCTTTATCATTATGTTTCCCCCTGCATCCAATAAAGGATTGAGATTGTCCTTAGCCCTCCTTTTGTTGTTAATGTTTTTATGGAAACGGTTTTTTATTGTCTTTTACAGCAGTAGCCAGATATAATGATATTTAGGAAAAAAAATTAACATTAACCACCTTTCTTTCTTCCATGAAATAGGTGTTCCTGTCATCCACTGCAACTGAGTACAGCTCTCTTACTATTGAACTAAACAAACCCATAAAGAATGACCTGGTCCTTGACCAAACCCAAGAAAATCTGTACGTGATGACCACGGACAAGGTAATGTGTCCTGCTTGCGTTAAGGACCAAGTCCGTTTTCACCTTCTCTGCAACTTTACCTGAGATTTGGATGTTTCTCAGTTGTTCCTGGAAGTCACCATATTTGGTGGGACTCCCCCCACTCTGTGTCTATGAAGACCTTTCTTGAGTCTAAGCTGATGGACTTGATTGTTGTGACTTGGAGAACTGTTATGTCCTTGATGCTTAGTGATTGGGAATGGGAAGTAAGTTCATCTCTAAAGCTCTCTTCTGGGCTCTGTGAGAAGAATGAAGTTGAGATGTTTGGCACCAGCACACTACGGGGGCAGGCAGCACTAGTACTCGGTGTGGTGTCTGTGAGGTACAGGTGGATACTCTAGCTGACATCGGTCCTTTTCAAGAGTACTTCAGGATTTAGGGTGCTAGAGTGCTGGCAGCTGACATAATAGCATTTACATATCTGTGAAGCAACCAGGAGTTTTCATGGGTCTTGTTGTCAAAAAGTAAGAAGGAATGGAGAGAATTACAACTTCGAGAAACAATTTTGTTCAACCTTCTCCTAGAACTGAGTGAGTGCAGCAGGAAAGGTCAGACTTCACTACAAAAGGCACAGGCAGTCTCTTTTAGATTCCCCTTCTCTGTGCTGGCGGGTGAGGCACAATAAAGGTTTGTAAAGAAAGGAAGAAAAAAAAGCAAGTAGAAGACGAGATGGTTGCCAAATTTCTTCTTCACCTCCAGCTGTAACCCTCTTCTGACACTTGTGTTTGTGGTGACTGGAGCTGCCAGCCTGAAACACGTGGTTCAGGAGCTCTCCAGGCCAGGGTGGGGGACAGGCCATGACCATCTGCTGCACGGACAGTGACACGGAATGGGACATGGGAATGCTCCGGCAGCAGTAACACAGGGAGAAGGAGGGAGGCTGTGAAATGAGAGTAGTTGGGGAAAACAGTGCGAGAAGAGTGTTCTCTGTCTGTGTTATGAAAGGTTTAATATAAATTCTTGCTGCAGGAATGTTACATTCTAACTGAAGGTTTTCAGACTAGAAGCCACATTGGAAAATGTGCCAGATAAGCGACTGATGAGAGCATTTAATAATATGACAGTGTGTGAGAGAGGTTACTTCATTTTTTTCGGAGTAGTTGATACTTCTCATTTGGCTTCTGTTCAGATTTGGAACAGAATTCCAAACTTCAACATGGCCCACAAAAACCTGGGCAGCCTGGCACCCCGTTTGACAAGCTGGTAAAAAGCCCTGAGATCCCTACCAGGCTATGGCATGAGCTGCTGAGCAGCGTAAGGGATGGCAGCAACCTTGAAGGAAGACAAGTTTTCTGGTGACAGTCTGCTTGAACTGGTAGAATTTAGGAAGACCATTGACAAATTTTTCAGAAAAAATTTGCAAAAAAATAATTCCATCACTACAAAATGTTTAAATTTAGAAAGCGGCACATTTCTGCCAAACAAAGGATTTCAGTTTTATCTTTTCCAAGTAGCTCTCATAGACACTGCAGTTTCTGAATAATGTGAAGAATAGTTTTCTTTTACAAAACCTGTTCAGCTTAAATAGGAATAACTAAAGCTGGGAGCTCTGTAATGGCATTACATTACTGTCATCTCCAGGAGTTAATTACAATGAGCAGTCCCACCCACTTTTAGAAGCAGATAGACAGGAGGAGAATGGAGGCCTTCGGAGCTGGGAGAAACGAAGCAACGTAAGCGAGGAGAGAAGAATAAATGCTGAAACGTGCACTTCTGGGTTAAGCCCAGCTGGGAGTTGTGGGAATAGAGATATCAGAATCCTGCCCTGGGAGTTAAAATGGTCTAGAGTTATTTAAAATAAGGTAAACAATAAAGGGCAGGCTAGCTCACTGATAGGCGTGCTTACTGCTAAGCTGCCTGGCAGATGCAGCCTGCCTCAGCATTTGGAAATGAATTGCTTGGGCTCTGTAAGCACTTGAGCAAACTGAAAGTGATGATGTGGTCGGTGATAACTTGAAGCAGCCTTTAAAGAGAAATCAGATCAAGAGAAATACGGGGAAGAACGATACAGAGGTTAAGAGCCATAGTGAGAAATAAGCTCTTGCTTTCCTGTTCTGCTTCTCCTTCCCTTTCTCCTCCCAGCTTCTGCTGCTGTGTCAATAGCAGTGGGTGGCTTGGAGCAAATGCTTTCAAAAGTCAGGCCCCTCCTCCCCATTCTGCTCCCAGAGCTTGAGCAGGGAGCAGGAGAAACCTGTTACAGCTTCTTGGGGGACTTGGAAAGGAATGTACCACCCCTGCCATGCTCACACTTTTTCATTACAAGTGAACATCACTGGTAGGATCCCAAGTTCCTTATGGTACATACCATACTGGCAGGAAAGCAGAAGCCTGTGGCAGTCATTTACCACGATCACTAGCTTGTTTGCTTGTTTTAGCTTTTACCACTCTTTGATTAAGAGTGCCAATTAGAAAATCTCTAAAATTAGTTTCTGTGCATTTTGAAGCTGGCTGTAAACAGAGCTGCTGGCTTTTTTTTTTAAATCCATTAAGTTTACATAAAACTTGCAGAGATGGCAATCTCTAGGGCTTGTTTCTGCCTGCCAGAATTATGAAATAAATACTTTGTCATAAAAAAGCCATTCACTGGATATTAAATTACTCATGGGTACCAGTTAGTGAAACAGAGTGCCAGTAACGCAGCTCCAGTTAGGTAAGAATCTGTGGAAGAACAGAATGCTGAAAAGGTAAACTTCTGTATTAATAAATGCAAAAAAACTACCCAATATTGACATTTTCCCTAACTGAGTCAGACTGAACTCTCTGAATGTGAAAGAAAAGGCCAAACTCAGACTTTCAAAGTAGCTTTGTAATAGCCAGTTGTTTTAAATAAGAGGATAAGGGGAAAAAAAAGAAAGCTTACGTCTCAGAGTTACTATTGCTAGACATTTTGCGCTCTTTAAAAGTAAAACGTAGTCATCGACAGGAAGATATATGTCCCGTTCTCCTCTTGCATCATTTCAGCAGCGTGACTAAAAGGGACGGTTGTGTGCTGACTCCTTTTTCTCTGCACCAAAGAAAGACAAAATTGTTTGTTCTCAGCACCAAAGGAAATCAAAACCAGAAGCTGTATATTTACAGAGGGACTGAGACATGAGAACTGATGATGCTCTTTTCCCTACTGCTTCCTGTCATAATTATTTCCATTTTCTTTCATGAATATGTTGCATGGTAGAGGGTTGTGCTTGGAGAAGTGCGGTAACCCGAAGCACGCTGACTCTCATGCCTGCGCACTTTCTGAAGTGCCTTCTGGCTAAAAGTACCACTGACGGTCACATTTCCAAACAATTTCATCTCCATGTCATGCCTGTGCACTTTCTGAAGTGCCTTCTCGCTAAAAGTACCACTGACAGTCACATTTCCAAACAATTTCATCTCCATGCTAGTGATATGGAGGGGAGGATATTCTGTTTAAAAAATGATCTAGCCAGTACCAAAGTACTTTTGAAAGTATCCGTCCTGCAGTAGCTGTCTCTTGAATTCAGAGCATTGTTGATGCAGTTTCTCTCCTGCAGTGACTGCTGTAATGCGGATTTCCAGAAGTAATGTAACTGGAGGAACTGAAAAGCTTGATTTTTGTAAGGCTTACTTGTGATTCTTGATTATAACAATGTCCTACATTGCTTTGAAGAGAGATGAGAGAATACTGGAGTGAAAAAAAGCAGGAAAAGTGTGTGAATTTGGACTTTGTTAAGGGGGAAATAACCAGACTCTGGTTTTGTGTGTATCTTCTTAAAATCAGGCTGGGCTCTGATGATAATAATACAGGATCAAGTCTTCTGCTGCCACAGACAACAGCGTGGTACAACGCTGTCCACAGACGTTTCTGTCTCTTTGTGCGTTCTTCAGATCCGTTATGGTTTGCTTTTCTTTTGGTTCTCCAGGTGCATCGGCTTCCTGTGCAGGACTGCCACAAGTATTCGGACTGTGAGAAGTGCACTCAGGCGAGGGATCCGTACTGCGGCTGGTGTGTGAGAGAGGGCAGGTGAGTGCTGCCAGGGTTTTCTTGGGTGCAGGCAGTGGAATAACTCAAATTTTAACACGTGCTGTGAGCTGCTGCTCGGCGTAGCAATCCCAGCTCTTTGTACTCAGCCTTACGCTCCTGACAGTGATTTAATTTTATCATGCAGACACTGATATCAGTCTTCTGTGCACACAAATAAGTTCCTGTTGACTTCTGCAGATTTGATTAGTTTGGGAAAATAAATACTTTACTGCTGGTGCTGAAAATCAGTATACATCTTCTAACTGCATGTTTTATCACTCTCTGAGCTGTACAGTCAAATGTTCTCCCAGAAAGTAAAAGAGTGCTCCTTATTTAAAATTCAGACAATATAACATATATTTTAAGTAAAGCAGGAAAGTGTAAAGAAGAACATGAAAGAAAAAACTATTTATGTGTGAAATAAAGTATATAGCTTAAATGCTGGTTTTATATAAACATCATCTATCAAGACATGTAGCAACACTGAAGCCTCACCTAACTGTAGGAGAGCAGAAAGTGGCATTTGGCTATCAGCAGAGGTTAACTGAATTAATATTCAAACACGTGTAAACTAGGACAGCACTGAGCAGCTCTGGAATGTCTCTTCTTTGCACTCTGCATTGATTGGAGTGGTGAGAGGGAGGAGCGGTCCTGCAGCTCTCTTTTTGACTACTAAGTTAATTAACCCCTTGGCATGAGGGGTTGGGAATTCGTCATTCTAAGTACTTGCTGTTGGAACAAAGGGGCTATTTAATTATAGTATGCAGATGAATTTCAGGCTTCTAGTTTCCTGTCTGAAAATGTGAACTATCACATTAAGTTACCTATCAGCCTGATGTGTAGCATAATATGGAGCACTGCAGAGAAACTTAGGTGGTGCGTACAGGTTTATGTAATGTACTGTAACTCTTCCAGTCTGGGTTGCCGTTGCTGTGGATGAAACCTGGAGATTTGGAATATATACCTCAAACTCCTCCTGGGCTCCTGGGAGTTGAAGGCCATGTCATATATCATACAAAAGGCAATTTTCCCTAGATTTCCCTTCAGGTTTCTGATATGACCACTGACCTCAATATCTCAAAATATTAATGGTCTCTGAGAACAGGCAAACATGAATTTTTGCATTTGCTAGTATTTATTTCCAGTGGGGAGAAAAAGTGTTTAATTTCTAATATTTTTCTCATCTGCAGTAAGTTCTGTCTCATGATCACATGCAGCGCTTAATAGTGTGTTTAGGGATATGTTATATGAATGTAGAGTCTGTATGTAAATCGTGTATTTAAGGGTAGGACTGACAGAACTGTGCAGCAACTGCACTGTGTTAAAGCCCCTGACAAGTTATAGTCTTCAGCCAGAGATCCTACAGCATTTTCTCCTAAACTTTGCACAGAATGGGAAGAATCCGCATGAGGCTGTCACCACACACACACTTAACAAACTTTTGTAGCCACATGCGCAACTTCTGCACTGCAGCATCTCTTCTTTCTGTCCTTCCTGTACTTGGGGCTGGAAAAATCTCTCAGTATTTTTGGTGAGGCTGCACAACCAGGGTTGTCTTCCCGTAATGGTAATGGTGCCCTGGCAGAGAGAGGTCTTAAATAGTGGCAGGCGTTAATGAAAACATTCCCTATGAAAGTAACATTTTGAGTGCTATGGTTTCACAGGAGCTCTCCACAAGCCTGTGTGCCCCCAGCAATACTCCTCTATTACGTTTTACTCTTGTGAGTGGGGTGTCTGCGACTTGACCTGCAGAAAAAACAGTCTGTGCCCACTCACTCAGGACTGTGTTATATATTACAATGAAGATGAATCAGCCTGGTTTCAGATGATCAAGCAATGGCTCCATTGCCTGATGGCTCCTGTGCTAAATATTACTGCCTCTGTATGGATAACCAAGGTGGTGTCCAAAATAGTATAGACATGTTTCCCCACTTGCTTTTGACATCTCAAACCATCAATGCTTATTCCACCACTTAATGTATTAAAAATTCTCAAGTAGCAACCTGACTAGTCAATATTAAAGCAAAGTCCCAGTCATCTTGTGTTGTCATTTCAAGCTCTAATCCTGAAATTGTTGAGTAGTTCAGAGAAGGCAGAGTCCAGCTATAATATTGCTTTGCTTTGGTTTTTGTTTCTGTTTTGTCAGGTGCACAAAGAAGGCAGACTGTGGAACATCCGATAAGGAGAACCACTGGCTGTGGAGTCCAAGTGGCACGTGCATGACTATCGTTAGTGCAGAACCTCTAAATATGAGTCGCAGAGCCCCTGCTAAGGTATGACAAGAAAATAACCTGTTCTTAAAGCACATTGATGTGTCTACTGGGAAGATGAATGTCTGCATTTTTTATGCACGGTGGAGACTAGGAACAGGGTAGTGTTCTGGGTATCTCAGTCTCTGGCGTTTCTCACAGGGCTCCTTCTTGCCTGCTGTTTTGCAGGTTGCAGTTCGTGTTTTCTTCTAAGAAATGCTCTTTTTGACCTTCTCTGTAAGCCAAAATGATGTGCTAGTGTGGATGATAAAGAACTTACGCTTATCTGAATATTATAAAAGCGTTGCACAATGTTGTATAACCCATAAAAAGTAATTGATAGGGTGATTTCATGCTGCCCTTTCAGCTTACTTGAGCATAAACTTAAGTAAGCAGCAAAGCCATAAGCTGTTGCTTTAAAATCAGCAGTGAATTTGCCTACACAGCGAAGTCTGTCTGGGTACATGGAGAAGGTAAAGTCAGCATGCAGAGCAACTCTGTGGCAACAAAACTGAGTGTTCAAAGTGTGACCAGGGTGTCATAGCTTGCTCTAACTCCAAATGGAGCATGCCAGTGCAGACTCAGGGCTTCCTGGGGGTGCTCAGAAAGTAAAATCAGTAAAATGGGGTTTAATCCCTCTTAATCAAAAAGAGACTATCATTCAAGTCGCTTTAATTCCTAAATGCTGTAAACAGCATTGTGTTAAGGCCATTTCTGTGTTGAATTAAAATGTTAGTAGGGTGTAACTAGTCACTTAAAATCTATATGTTCTCTTGGTTCAGATCTTGTCAACTTCTGTTGACAAGTCTCTGGTGTCTCATATCAGTATCTGAGGCCAAAATACCTAGAAACCAAAACCAAACCCAACTTCAAATGAGCAGTTACATGCTGCCTGTAACATTACTAATGCCACTGTCTCCTCCTGATTCTTTTACTCACCAAAAAACATTGCAGCTCATAACATAGTGGGTCAGTTTCGATGAGAAAGGGATGATTGTCATTTCTACTGGCAATACAAAATGGAAAAAGTTAAACTGTATAATTAACACACCTGAAGCATTAAATCAAGGGCAGCATCCAAAATTTCATTGCAGTTTTTTCCTCTCTCCTTGCTAGGTTTTCCCATTTTATTTTGCTTTTAGTTTTTCACATGCACTGTGTATTGATAATTTCCTCAAGGAGGTTAAGATCTCACCATCACTCAGAAGTAATTTTTCAGCAGTAATGATAGATCTCAGTGGGTTTCTTGCATGTATATTGAGTCTTGAGGAAACCACTTTTCTGTTCAGCCCTTTCAAACTCCAGCTTTTCCAGCGCATCCAGCCTTGGTTTCATTATTCACTAGTAACACCTAAGGTTAATGTAATTTTAATTAAGTTTGTCAGGATTAAAGAGTTAACCATTCTGTTTGCTGTTGCTAAACTGGATGCTGAGGACAAGAATAAAAGGCTTTAGATGTGTCTGTACAGACGTTTTTGTTCTGATCTAAGGCACTAACAGGATGAGAGGTTTTTGTACCAGTCTAATTCAACATAGACCCAGCCTGGAAAAATTGGTAGAGATATAAGAAGAAAAGATTAGCAGATGGGAAGAAATAAAAATTGAAAAGGAGAACTATCTTCTGTGATCCTAGCCAAAATATCACCGCTGGCTGAAAAAAAAAACAGGAGCAGTTGAAATTCTCTGGCCATAAATCTTACTGGGTTTTGGTTCATTTCTTTCAAATATTTTACCCTTTTAAAATTTTGTTTCTAGGTGGAACTGACTGTAAGTCCACTGCCAGCTTTGACTACGGGTGACGAGGTTTGGTGTACATTCGGTGGAACAACCCGTTACGCTCAATTAAAAGAAGAGGTTATTATCTGTGATCCACCCGATATAATTCCTCCAACACCAAAAGGTCAAGGTAAAGAAGTATTGCTACCCTCCATGTATGATAAAAGGAAAGAACATAACCTGCTGTTTCTAATGTGGTGCTGGTACATGAGCGGCATACAAGTTTTTTTTCCTGTACCAGTCCCTTTCCCCAAATAGTCTATTGCTGAACTGTCCATTCAAGCATTTAAAAAAACCACATTTGCTCAAACTTTTTCCATTGCTGTATTTACAAACTGTAGCATTCCCAGTGTTTCTACCAGGAACTTGAAACAGGAGCTTGACAGAGGCATAGATACAGAGCCAGAGAGGTGTTATTCTGTGTCCCAAACAAACAAAACCCAGCTACTCTAATCTTACCCAAATCACTCTTGAGTTTTGGGGCCAGAAGACCCACATATGCACTTCAGATGTGAAGTTTTTCATCTCTGATGTGTTAGTTTTGCTCTAGTCAGCTGTAGTTCAGTGGCTTGTTTTCTGATCCATGTCACAAGGCTATCCTTTCTCTCGTAAAGCCTTCTGCCTCTTCTACTATGTGCCCTCCAGCTTCTGCAATAGTAAATCCAGTGGAAAAATACATGATCGTAAAATTAAAGGCTGTATCATTGTTCTGAACCACTGATTATATGCTTAAGGTCTGTTGCCAACCATAATTCTTGTGCTATTTCCTAGGTAGTGCTTTATTTATGCTTTAATTTCATACATCTTGATGCATAAACACATGGAATAAAACTGTTTACACGGCACTGTCTATTATGTATCAAGCTTAAAAAAAAAAAATTAAAAAAAAGAAAAAAAAAAAAACAGGTGCTGTTGCAGCTTGCAGAGGTACCCCTGAGGATAACCCTTTTATATGGATCACAACAGCCATGAACTGTCAGAGTGGCATGTGGAAGCACTTTTTAAGATAAGTTTCAGTTCTTTTAAGGCTGAAACAGGTCAAAATCCAGTTTTAGTTGCACAAAGAGTAATGATGTTAAAATCTCACTCTTAAGTTTTAAACTAGTTGGGGTATGTCACGGTATCAGATTATGCTAAGTGTTAAAGCAGCACTCCATTATTTAGGGCCAATTCACATTCCCTAAATATTTTTTAAAGCAGGACATATATCAACCAGGTTGATAAACGCGTCTTGATGTCTTCCAGCATAAAATGTGAGACTAGAAGCCTGTCAGGGATGGCATTAGAGTAACCCGAGTCACCTAGAAATAATATGCCTCTGAGTTGGTTGCATAGGGATCCATCTGAAAGGATATTGAAAAGTAATACAAAGATGCTCAGAAGCTTGGCAGACACGTCAGCAGAAGGCAGATTGTTATGATCACAGGCAGTGGTTCCTGGCAGTGTGTGACAAAAGGTCCTGAGCCATCCACTTACTGTTAAGAAACTCTATTTGGAAAAGTCTGGGTTACTTTAGTTGTGGTTGGTTCCGAAGGGAACAGGACATTTCTAGAGAGGAAGGATGCTTTTTCGCAGTCCCGTTGTTAGGAAATCCCCTGGCATTCCTACCAGTCTGAAATATTCAAAGGGACCCAGTGCAGGCATAGGTGACTTCCAGCCAAGCAGCTGGTGGTCTTCCAAGAACCTGTTCAAGAAAAGCAGAGTTTGAAATTGCTCAATAGCTTGTGAAATAGCTTGTCACAAGGGCTTAATGATTTCTGCAAAAGGTATTTCAAACAGCTTCACTGAGGAAAGCACCATTTTCTGAAGATACGTTTTCCACTCTTAGTTCAGTAATAATCCAGAGAAGAATCACATTTGTGGAGAAGTCGTGTATGGCAAACGGAAGATCACAAGTGCCTGTGGTAACTTAGCGTTGCAGGCGCTGTTGTGCATTACCCACAAAGAGCTCTTGCTTTAATTCACATGACGATGACAGTTTTAATCCACAAATGGAAGAAGTAATTTTACATGCAGACATATTCATATTTAAGAAACTGTTTTATTTAAAATGACTGTTCTTGTGCCACTTTTCATCTGTGTTCAATTATCTCCTTATTCAGTTTTCCTTGTTCTTCTAGACTCTTTAAAATTCTAGCATGATGATAGCACCGCTGAGAAACACTTCCATAAAACAAAGCTATTCTGTAATTTTTGCTTTTTCCCTTTATCCCATCTGTGCTTTTCTTCTGACAACCATGTGCTGAAAATTTTGTAAAGCTTAAAAAGACAAAACAGAGCTTATAGACCTAAAGTATAGCAGGTCATGAAATCCAGTGTCAACAGTATAGTTAAATATTTGCTTATGTCCTGTAAAATATTATCATTGTATCATTCAGCTCAAGAGCTAAAGAATTCAACAACCACTTAGAAAATTTTTTTTCTTTTGTGATAGATCATGTTTCAGTTCCACTTCAGTTAACCTTTGGACAGAACAGGATATTTTTTGCGTCACATACTTACCCTTTTTATGACTGTGAAGAAGCAATGAATCTTTTTGAAAATCAGCCGTAAGTATTTCAACTTCTTTACTTAAGTGTTTAGATCCTGTAGCATGGTGTTTCAGGAAACTGGCAGCTGAGTTACTCAGTCATTTCACAATTAAGCCTTTGGCACTCTCAAAATTTGCCCGTGTCCAAATCTCTTTTCTTACATTTTAATGGAGTTTAAAAATGGTTGAAGGGCACCAGATGAGCCAGTAACATAAAACACATGGAACAGGGGTATTCATGGCACGTATAATTAAAGGTCAGTTCATTGTGTTGCCGCTTCTGTAGCTGCGAATGTATCTGCAGGTGAGCTCTGTGGACATCTGCCTACCTACGTGTTCCCTCAAATGATAGATTGGTGCTTTGGGTTGCAGTGCATTCAAATAGGACAGTCAAAGCTGACTCTGCCCCCATCATCTGCCCTGGTTGAGATGTTCCTGCCCTAGGGCAAGTGCAGCCAACCCAAGCCCCACTTTGTTCATCCTTATGTCTTAAGGCTGATGAAGATCATTTCCAGTCCTCTCAGACTTGATCTCAAAGTTTGTGCGAGATGCTGTGGTTTTGTGATCCTTGCTCAAATATTTCAGGGAGAAAATAGCTTTTTTGGGTTCTTGAACTGTTCTTACTATGAAGTTTTCAGCTTAATATAGTAAGGACACTATAACAGATTGATCTACCCTCCATGAATAAAGATGGAATTTCATTTACTTTTTTTGTCAATGAGGGAAAAAACCTGACAGTTTGTCATGACTGTCATGTTATATTTGTAGATGCTATTCCTGTGCAAGCAATAGATGGAATTGCCAGTGGGACTGGAAGAGACATATCTGTGAAGAGTCCTCTTCAGTACAGGATGTGATTAAACAAAATATGGTAATGTTTAAAAATAAGATTATTAGGTTTTTATTAGAACACTTCAATATTGTCTTTGCTTTTTCTTTCATATCAGCTGGTTGAATTAGGGATTTTAAAATTATTCTAAAGTTAACTCCAGAAGTATAAGGTGGGTTTTTTTTAGAGACAGTGCGGGGGTGGGAATTTAAGGCTGTGATTGAGGAGGGGCAGTGAGACTGAATAACTCCTGAAAGGATATTTTTGTTCCTTTTACTATTTTGCTTAAATGGGAGGAACAAGATTTCAAGGCTGGGAAAGATAATCACCCACAGCTTTGACATATGCTGCAGTCATTTTTAGCATGTCTAATTTGAAAGGGTGTAATCAAATCTGTCAATGTATTTTAAGCATGAAGTTCTTCAGAACAATCATTCCATTGTCCGAAGGCCATTGGAGCTTGTTGTGATAAGACTTTTTATTTGAAATAATGTATAAAATGTTTATCTCCCCAGGAAGAAGAATGCCCGCAGTTTCTAAGCCCTAACCCTCCAATAATACCTATGGAGTACCGAACAATGGTGTATTTTGAAGGAAGACATCTAACTTATTATCAGGTAAACAGATTAATTCAAAGCTAGCTGTCATTTGAATTCCACTTAAACTGCAGCCACGCCCTTAAACTAAAGCATAGGTTTGTGTTCCTTGGAGAGCCTGCTTGTAGCTGCTTTTAAAGAAGGAAAAGAGCTACACATTCAAGTGGTAGAACCATCACCAAGACAGAATCAGAGCTGGACAAAGTATTTTAACTACTGGATGTGGGTTGGTTGTGTGGGTTTTTTTAAAGAATGTAAGTTGGACCTACTGAAACACTTGACAGTTATTTTTCATCTAATGAAATAAGGGGAGATTTAGGAACTGTTAATGTTTCGTATCTTTTTTCTTAATTAAATACTCACCTATTTTTTGTTCTAGAATGACATCACTCGATGTCCTTAATTCAGTTTTCACTTTTCAAACAAAAACATGCACTCAGAAATTAAGTGTTTCTTAGTTTGGATAAAACAATCTTTTGCTTTTTTTGTGTGTGTGTGACTGTCAAAGTGGAAGACCAGGTATTTTCTCAGCTGTAGCAAAAGCTTCTTATTCTCAGTACTTGCTTCCAGAAAGTAAATTACAAAGCTTATAAGAAGCCAGAGTTCGACCCTAAGCTTTTAATTGTTTTATAACTTAGATAGTGCATAAAATGTTATTGTTAGTTTGATAAAAATGAAGCTTAAAACCCACTTCTCTAGCTCAAGTATTGGTCTTAGTTTCTATTGTTTGTTTCTGGGATGTCTTTTTGTAAATCCAAATTGATGATAGATATGCTGGAGATTGCATCGATTGCTTTAACTACCAGCCATCTCTCAAGGGAAAGAAGACTTTTGTTTTTTGAGGGTTTTTTTTTTTTTTTCTTTTCCTTTGCTAAATTGAAGTACTGTATAGCTTACAAAGTCCTTCTGTCGCCTCTGCTATGCCTGCCAAGGGATGAAAAACAATAAACGAGTCTGGAGAGTAACAACGTTAGAAGGGTTTTCAGAGAAGGGTTAAAAAGCAACCTGTAAGCACTACAATCATATGAAGACCATGCTGTGTATCACTACACTATACATATATCAACACCGTGCTATACAAATATATGTTCAAAAATAAACATTTTTGCTTGAAGATCTTAAAATATATATAAACAAAGAAAAGCAATTTGGTGAATTTGGTTTGTTCTCTGAGATGACAGGATTGGTCCCTGGCAGCATGACTGGCTGTGTGCAAATTGTGGCACACACCACTTGTCTTAAAGGCCACAGCTCTCTTTGCTAACAATGGAAAAGTATTCCAGAGAATTTACTCACATTTCTTTTGTTTAACATTGTGAAGAGCTGTTCTTCTGCACAAGAGAAAAATCTTTCCCTGCTCCCTTGATATAAGTGGAAGAACCCATTCTCTCTTGAGAACAAATTCAGGGCAGATACATAATCCAGATGTGCTGAATTTGACTTCTAGAGGACCCTTTTCCTCCAAGGAGGAGAAACAGCAGCAAGAACCCAAAAACTCCTTCATCTAGTTTATCATTCTGTGAATAAGCACTTTAATCTTTCTGAACTACTAGTAGAGAAAAAGGAACAAAAAATCTTCTGCCCTTTTTTTTTTTTTCTGTGAGATACCAGTTGCATTTAACAAAGGCAGAGACACATCCTATGGATTGAATGCTTTGTCATGGGTAGCAATGTTTAACGCTTTGCCTACAGACCAGACCTAGTATGCATTTATTTAACTTGGAACTGGGAAAGCTTATGTAGAATTCAAGTTTCTCTAAGAGGTAAGATGAATGCATAGGTCCTAGACTGGAAAGATGCTGAGCAATGAGTGTCAAATGATGTCAGAACAATTTCTCTTAGGTGAGAGCCATGTGGGAACATCATCTCTGTCATGGGAGCAGCTCTGTATATCCTGGTACAGAGGTGCATTTTTAAACCAAAATAATAATGTCTTCAGTGCCAGGACTTCAATAGGCACACACAGTGACTACAGCTGTATACACAGACCTCTAAGTATATGTGAAAACAGACAAATAAGGCATGAAATAGTTGTAATTGTACAGGCACTCATGCCTGTGGTGTCATGCTATCTGAAGCAGTCACTTTGATTACTGAAAGTTCATTTGAGTAAGGGCATAACCTACACTCAGCCTTTGCTAAATATCTCATGGAGGGCAGGTTGCTCAGGGAAAGCCATGGATGGATATTTTGTAGGGGTTGGCCCACAGGCCAAATGCAAAATAGCACGTGGCTTCTCACATGGAACGATTTTACCACAGGATATGCTGGGCATTACAGTGTGTTTGGAGCTAGCAGTCGTACAGCTATGAGCACATTTAAGGTCTTTATTGATGAGGATATTGGTATATATCAATTTTCCTCCTATTTTCCTTGCGTAAATTCTTGCTTAGAAAAAGCAAAAACAATAACAATGTTCTGTTGTTGCTTTGAACTACTAGCTCTATTATCTTGGTTTAATCTGTGCTTTGCTTAAAAGGACCATGCACAACCTGCCTTATCATGCGTGACTAAGTACACTAGCCATCGTTGTGCATATAAGCATCTCTGTTTCTAGGTAGCGATTAGCAGTGATGGTTTGGGCTTACTCAGTGAGTAGGAGAGATGGATGGCTTCTAAAATTACTGTTGCAGAACTGAAGTGGAAGAATAAGCTCACACGTTTTGTAGGCACCTCTTGTGAACACTTACAGTGCAATGAATAAATCTTGTGAGGGCTTCCACTGGAGGGAAATAGACTAAAAGGAAGAAGCTGCTGACTGGTTTTTTTGCCCCTCTTTCCTCTGAAAGAATTTTAATAGGAAGAAGTAAATCCAAGCTGTTGTCATTCTCTTGGGAATAGCCTCATCCAGGACAAGCGGTTGCGAGGAGGGTTTAGTACTGATCAGTCATATTGCATGCAACTTCTGAGAGGCATTCTCCAGCTGAGCCCTTGAAAGATTGGCACAGTAGAAGAGACAGATGTACCAGCATCAAGTTAACCTTATTAGCCCTCCAAACATTTTTGTTAAAAGTAATTTCCCATTTGGATTTGTCTTTGTGTCTGCTGCCCAACCTGTCACGGTGAAGGTGCAATAGGAAAGGTTTCCACTGAACTAATTAGATAAACGTAGTGGCCCATGAGTTACCAGTGATTCCAACATTGAAGAAGTAACTACAAGTAAGTAGGATAAGATCCTTGAACATGAGGCTTCGACGACAGCAGGAGACAACTTACCACCCCTCGGACTAAGAAAGAGGAATGAAGTAACCTTTATTTTTTTGCCGTGACTCAAGCAGTTCTGGACAAAAGCAGGGACTAGTTATTTACATCCACAGAAGGCATCAAAGTTCTTGTGAAGTTTTACAAGGCCACTGGCAAGGTCCTGCACCTGTGTTGGGGCAATCCCCAATATGAATACAGGCTGGGGAATTAATGGATTGAGAGTAGCCTGGAGGAGAAGGACTTGGGGATACTGGTGGATGAAAATTTAGATATGAGCCAGCATTGTGCACTTGCAGCCCAGAAAGCTGACCGTATCCTGGGCTGCATCAAAAGCAGCGTGACCAGGAAGTCGAGAGAGGGGATTCTGCCCCTCTACTCCACTCTGGTGAGACCCCCCCCTGCAGTACTGCCTTCAGCTCTGGGGTCCTCAGCACAAGAAGGACGTGGACCTGTTGGAGCGAGTTCAGAGGAGGCCATGAAGATGATCCGAGGGCTGGAGCACCTCTCCGATGAAGACAGGCTGAGAGAGTTGGGGTTGTTCAACCTGGAGAAGAGGTTGAGACCGGGGAGACCTTAGAGCAGCCTTCCAGTACCTAAAGGGGGCTTACAAGAAAGATGGAGACAAATTTTTTAGCAGGGCCTATTGTGATAGGACAAGGGGTAATGGTTTTAAACAAAAAGAGGGCAGATTTAGACTAGAAATAAGGAAGAAATCTTTTACAGTGGGGGTGGTGAAGCACTGGCACAGGTTGCCCAGAGAAGTTGTGGGTTGCCCCATCCCTGGAAGTGTTTCAGGCCAGGTTGGATGGGGCTTTGAGCAGCCTGGTCTAGTTGAAGATGTCCCTGCCTTCTGTAAAGGGGAAGGTGGTCTTGTCCTTCAGTGGGTTCTGAATTCATAAGCCTTTACCAACAGCACTGTCTGAAAATATCCTTGCTACTTATTTCTTTCTTTGGTTCTTCTGGCAAAGCTGTTCTGTGCGCCAGAGCAGGAGAATGACCTAGCACAGAAACAGTGTCATGGGATGATGTGTTTGGTTTTTAGCCAACTCAGTTCCTCAACTGAATCATAGAACAGCCAAGCTGAGAGTTTTGCCGGTGCAGCACAGGTCCATATGTGCTGCAACCTAAAGGCAGGAATGAATGGATTTAGGGCCTAGGGAGAAGAAAGGGGGAAGACGGTGCCTAGGAGGCAGGAATACCCTTAAACTGATGCTGCCGTCAAAGACTGTTCTGTGAAAACACAGCTGGAGTTGTGGTGAGGCAGGAGAAACAAAGCCAGGAAGATCTGAGAGATGTTCATTCCAGTTTCCCATGCAATTCTACTGCCCAGGATCCCTACAGAGAAAACCTTAAAGGGCAGAACTCACGCAGCTCTGTCAATAACACATCTGATGTGTGAAGCCATCCAGTATTCACATCTCTTGGCTTTTTCTTATTATTCCGTAAAACGGAGTGCTAGATAACTTCTCACTTTATTTGTACTGCGTGGTGCTTTCACCTTTAACAAGCGCTGGAGGGGTGCAGCAAAGTAGCAGATTGTGCTGCCTCAGTGTTTCACTAGCTTTGTTTTAGAAGTTGACTTTAACTGGTTAGCCTTCTCCATTTGGTCTTATTCCTTCCAGTGCTGAACAGGATATTCCCTGGTGATATTTTATTATGCTTGGTGATGCTATATGAATTCTAAGCTGAACTTTTCTCTTCCATAGGGTGAAAAATTTGTGGTTGGAAACAGCCAATTTGATTTCGAAGCTCCTGTTGATGAATCAGATGAAGGAAAATTTTCATTCATGAGTAAAGAGGTAAATGAAAAGATACGATTCGCCTACCAAATATATTCAGCTCTTATAGTCCTGTTCCATAGTCCCGTTCCAGTGTCCACATGAGTCCAGAAATATACAGGTAATATTGGTTTACCTCAGAGAAGGGAGTCATCTCTGATGGAGATTGTCCTTTGGCAGTAGCAGTCAAAGGCAGCAGCTTTGGCTCAGAGCTCCTGGGATCTCCCCTCAAAGCCCTCAATCTTTCTTCTTCATTTCTTTATGTGTGCAATCCATGGATTCATGAACTGTCCCTGGAGGAATTCGGGACCATTACTCTTTTATTCTTCACTTTTTATGCAATCTGGTGAAGTCATTGAGGATGAAAGATGAGAATTTCAGAGCTCTCCCTCTCCATGCTCCAATTCATTATCTTTCCCATTTTACATCTGTAAAATTGGGAATGGTAGCAGTATGCTGTTGTTTAGCTACTTACTAGCTATGCTGCTTTCACTCTGCTTTATTTTACAGAGAAAGGAAATAATATTTAAAAAAAATAGTGTATTTACCAAGCTCAAAATTGGACTTACAAATGTTATGCTGACTTTAACCTTTATGTCTTATAAGCTTACTAACAGAGTAGTTTTGAGAACTAATTAGCATTTATGCAGCATTTGAGCCTAGCACAAAGCATTTGCTTTATAAAGCCATTGTATTTTTCTTTGCTCTTTTTCCTTCCCACCGGTTGTTATTGCTGCTGTCTTTCAACATCAGCAGAAGCTTGTATCTTGGAGCATGCAAACCTTGTGCTTTGGCTATAACGAGGGGGTTGCACTGCAAAAGATGCAAGAGATTTCCCCTCCATGTGGTGCGAGTCTGCCTTGTCCACAAAAGTAATGGGGCCAGATGGTGTGGGAAGGGAGAACTCAGCAGGCTCAGCAGCTATACTTACTGAATCTGAACAGTACCTTTGCTACTTGGATACTTATAACCAAACGTAAATTAAATTAATGAAAAGTGAGTATTCAGATATTGCTGTCCCTTGGTACTTGAAAATTCTGATTGTGAAGGATTAGGTTCATTAAAACATTTTTCTATAAAGGTATTTGTCCAAGATGAAAAAAAAGACCATAAGGTTTGGGATAGTTTCTAAAACCTTCACAGCTCTGCTATTGAGAATCATAGAAAACACATGAAATTAACCCTGCCAAATGAAGGTATAAATATCTCTATTGTGTCATCTTTTCTAGTTCTCCTATAGTGCAAATGAGACCCTACGACTTGACTTATCCATAAGAACAGAAAAGGTCAAGATTGACAGCAAACTGATGGGTAAGTATGAAATACAGGATTAAAGGGAGGTTAATTACAGTAAACAGAAATCTATTCCTTCATAATTTGGAGCCATGTGAATAAGAATCTTACCTTTGTAGGTTTTACTGGTTTGAGTAAGACAATTAAATCTAACAGATCAAAAGTTATTAATACTAAACTCATGAATTAAACATCCATGTTGTCAGCAAGTTTGCTGATGACACCAAGCTGAGTGGTGCCGTTGACACACCTGAGGGACAGGATGCCATCCAGAGGGACGTGGACAAGCTCGAGAAATGGGCCCATGTGAACCTCATGAGGTTCAATGAGGCCAAGTGCCAGGTCTTGCACGTGGGTCAGGGCAATGCCGGGCATCAATACAGGCTGGGGGATGAGGGGATTGAGAGCAGCCCTGCCAAGAGGGACGTGGCAGTACCGGTGGATGAAAAACTGGGCATGACCCAGCAATGTGCACTTACAGCCCAGAAAGCCAGCACTATCCTGGGCTGCATCAAAATCAGCGTGACGAGCAGGTCGAGGGAGGGGATTCTGCCCCTCTACTCCACTCTGGTGAGACCCCTCCCGCAGTACTGCCTTCAGCTCTGGGGTCCTCAGCACAAGAAGGACGTGGACCTGTTGGAGCAAGTCCAGAGGAGGCCATGAAGATGATCTGAGGGCTGGAGCACCTCTCCGATGAAGACAGGCTGAGAGAGTTGGGGTTGTTCAACCTGGAGAAGAGGTTGAGACCGGGGAGACCTTAGAGCAGCCTTCCAGTACCTAAAGGGGGCTTATAAGAAAGATGGGGACAAACTTTTTAGCAGGACCTGTTGTGATAGGACAAGGGGTAATGGTTTTAAACTAAAAGAGGGCAGATTTAGACTAGAGATAAGGAAGAAATTTTTTCTGATGAGGGTGGTGAAACACTGGAACAGGTTGCCCAGAGAGGTGGTAGATGCCCCATCTCTGGAAGTGTTCAAGGTCAGGTTGGACGGGGCTTTGAGCAGCCTGGTCTAGTTGAACATGTCCCTGCTCATTGCAGGAAGGTTGGACTAGATGACCTTTAAAGGTCCCTTCCAACCCAAACTATTCTATGGTTCTATGATTTTAAAGTTTGCTTTTGCTCTGAAGGGCAATCCCAATAGCAAAACTTCACAGTTCAAACATACTTAAATAGTTTAATTTCCCATCCCCCGCCCCCCAATGATCTTTCCCCCTCCAATAGCAGAAAGAGCATCCTTCTCACTGCCACTCGTATGGACTTCACCTGAAGTCTCAGGTTTCAGCTGTGTCTCAGCTCAGGTTCCAGTCTTTACGTCTGCTGGCAGTCTGCAAAACACAGAAACATTCAGTGTGCTTTCAGCTCATTTCTTTATTCTTTTATTTCTATGGCAAAAAAAAGTATATCTCAAGTGTTTTATAGCACAAAGACTTGATCTCTGATATAAATTCCTTTATAAATATAAATGTCTTTTGTTTCTTTGAACATACAATGATGAAGCAGTTATTTCTGTGAGTCTAGTCTTGAGCTGAGGTGAGGAAGCTCCGTCAAAATCAGCAGAGCAATATTTGGGAGCTCGGACCTACCTCATACTCCTTTGGACTGAAGTTTAAGGCATAATATTGCAAGAACTGCAAGGCAACACATTTGTGTGATGAGTCAACATCAGGAAAACTAATACTACCCCCAAGTAATTTCCCCTGCAGATTAAATCTCCAGACCATATTTTTCCATCTGCACAATATTTAAATTTATTCTCTTTCTTATTGGCAGCATAGAAGTATGTTTTTAGAAGATTTTCCCTGTGGCTCTGTGTGCAGTGTTGAAAGCACTTAAAAGAGGACCTGGCATGAATGTTATGGAGAGGTCATATTACAATCTCACACTGTCTGAATTTCCATTCCAAAGGCTGTGGTGTTTAAACCTGCAGAATTTTGACCAAATATTCCCATCTTTTTTCCAAGTCCGGGAAAAGCATCGAAAAAAGAAATAGCTACATTATTAAAGTGTTATCATTCGAATTGAAATATAGAACCCTTGCAAGAGGGGAATTGAAAAATTATCAACAAATGTCTCTATTATAAAAGTGATTTTTTAAATCCAAATTCTCTCCTGCTTTTAAATTTTCTTGCCATATGAAATCCAGAGCATCATGTGTTTTTATGCATCTTGAAAAGAATTGGCTTTGGGTATACGGTTGCTGCTGAGAAGCACCTTTGAACCTCTCAGTGAAAGAACCCTTTCTTTGTATAACACTTAGTGAATACTAAGTTACGATAGCATTTTTACATCTCAAGCCATCGGGGGTTCTGAACAGTATGAAATCCAATATATCCCTTTTATCCTTTGTCCTTTTTATCAATGATTTCACAGCTGGTATCTCAAGGTGATGGATAAGAGTCTGAATCTAATGAGTGGCTTGCTGCTGGTACATTTAATGAGCTGATCAGTGAACAGGGGGACTGTTTAATGCTTTAAGGCCGTAGCTTTCTCCGGTGCATTTATGCAACTGGATGTGAGGGACGTCAAGATGTTACAGCACTGACATTGTTTACTGAGGGATGGGATGAAAATCCCTGTCCAGCCGATGAAGGACAACAAAGTAATTCAGTGAGCATGTTCTCATGCCGTACTAGGTGGCCATGTGGCAGTGTGGGTGGGAAGTGCAGCATTTAGGAAGGCAAGGGGAAGATTCGCTTAACAATATTACCTGCTCAAGTCCCTGTGCAGTAGCAGTGTTTCGGAGTGCTGGGTTAAGAAAGCAATCTGGTTCCTGCAAAAGCAATTCTCAGCATAGATGCAAGGAAGCTTTTCCTTGCTGCTGCCCACACCGTCTCTTCTGCTTATAGAAGCAAAGAGCCACGTACCAGGGCTGTCAGTCTGATGCTTTTCCCCAGCACTAGGTTCACATCCAACATACAGAGTGAATACTTAACACAAAAACTGTTGAAGATGTTGCTTGGGTTGTGTTTGTTGCTCAGTGACTTCGGTATTGATCTGCTCAGTATATGAAGCAAATTATGCTACTCCTGCTTTATGCTCATCGATTCCTTGAGAATTCAAGATAGGGGTTGAATCAAATGGATGCTCTTTCTCGTTGATGCATTATTACAAACGCCAAAGTCCCTCAACTTTGCGTACACCTCCAGTGATGTCTCAACGGAGTTTGTGATGGTAAAGCTACTTGAAATCAAGTGGATATGCTGATTAGATGTAAGAAGGGTTAAAACCAGGCCTCATCAGTGCATTAACTCTTCAGTTTAAGGGAAGGAATAAAAACATGTTATGCTATTAAAGACTAGCTGTGAAACTGAATGCTGAGGTTTTTAAATATGCAGCATTTAGAGAAAAATTGCCCTTATGAGCTTATATGCTCTCATGCCAGTGGCAGAGAGACTGTAGCCAAGTGTTGGGCATCTGTAATATTGTTCATGCCTAGCAGGGGAATAAGGGCGCTGCTGAAAAATAATGGAAAACCAGAATTCTCATTTTACGTTTTCATTTCAGTAGAAATCTGACATGGTAGCCTCTTGGAATTAGATTTAAAAAGATGCTGCTGTTGCTGTTGTCTAGGAAGATATCAAATGCATTGAAATGTTAGTGACTGGAGGCTGATTTCACCGGTATCCTTCCTAGAGTCCTGCTTCTCTGAGGATAAAAGCTGTCTTTAAATAGACATTTTTGATGTGCACATGCAATCTCAGAGGGATTTATCCTAGTCTCTCTTGCCCACATCTGATGACCTCTGTTTACTTAGCTTTGCTTCCTGCATCTTTAAGGATGAACCTCCTTTGAAAAAAAAAAAACAAAAACAATGTCATTAAGGGTACCATTTCTTGAGACTTAATGAGCACATAAAACAACTCATCACTGCTGGAAAGGGTAAATGTTGAGTCTCTGTCTTGTACTTGCCACTCCCATCTGTGAGCACATTTAACTCTTGAAAGGCCCAAGAGAAAAACTGGATAGTTTTCTGCTGTTCTGGTAAGTTGAGTTGATTTATAAGAAGACTCAACAAGTGCCAGAGCCTCGGCAGCAGAGGGTGAGAGGCTGTATGACCAGAAAAAAAGAGCAGCAAAGAGTAGAGAGAAGCAGGGATGAAGAGAAGGAGCAGAAAAGGAGGGAGGAAGGAGTTTCCCTCTTCGCAGTAATCAGCTCACCTTCCCAGGGAAGCACGGCACTCACACGCTGAGTAATCTGTGCAACTTGTACACTTCCCCTAGAGAAATATGTGACATCTTTTCAGTCTTGTCTCTTCTGGGCTAGCTCTCAAGTGCATCTCCAAATGTTTTCTTGCAAACCCAGGCTTTCCGTATGGTGCTGAACCACCCAGCTATGTCTCAAGGCTTTACATCTGTTTGGGAAAATTAATTTTGTGCAGTGACTGTGCATCATGCTAGACATTGATGGAGGCCAAAACAAGCTTAGTTTCTGGGACAACTGGTGCATGGTTCATCAGTATAGGATTTCTTGGCTCAGAAAAACCAGAATTAAACCCCACTACAGAGGAATAAGGCATACATCAGGACAGCAATTCAAGACAAAAGGGAAAACAAAAGCAAGAAAATAGAGAAGAATGGAGAAATGAAGAGGCATTCACTTGAACAAAGGATAACACTTCATTAAGTGTTAACTTTCTGTTCAGTTCAGGCTTTAGTGATGACTTTGGAAAGGCCCAAATGTCCTGGAAACAGCCTACAAAGGCAGCTCTCTTCCTTTAAATATGCAACTGGCAGAGGTCCCGTGCCAGCTGATGTCTGTCCCTACCAACACCCATACAGAGTTTATACCCTTCCACGCCTGATTCCTGGTACACCAGGAGGAGCTGTTTGTTTGAACTAGTCTTGGAACAGTTGTATAGGCCGGTTCATTGAGGACAGTCAAAGAAAGGACTTGGTACTTAAACGTTTTGACAATGCGTGAGTGACAAAAGTGCGTTTGGGTTCTACTTGATAGTTTATTCATACTCTGCATGTGGATAGATTTCAGGTTTTTCTGTACAGGGAAAAATACTGTTTTCTGTCAGCATCGTTCAGGGGTTAAGTACAGAGTGTGCTTATTCTTCACATGACTCCGCTGAGCTTTCTACATAGGATTAGTTTTCCTTCCAATAACACACTAAATATCTTTAAAACAGGGGAAAATGTCTAAGTGCATTTACCGTTCATATTTCAGTGACTCTGTATAACTGCTCTTATGGACGAAGTGACTGCAGCTTATGCCTCGCAGCCCGTGACGACTATAACTGTGTCTGGTGTGAAGAAGATGGCAAACCCAGCAAGTGCGTTTATGAAAAACTCTGTCACACTTCTCCCACCAACACGTGTCCTCATCCAGAAATCACTCGTGTAAGATTACTTTTTTCTCTCCCTACTATTGTATTATTTTTCAGGAGAAAGCATCCAAGCAAGCTCATACTGAAAGGCAGTTTTTTTTCCTAGGGTGTTAAGTAAGCCTCTGAAATAACTGCAAGGAAATAATGCCAGTAGTGATGTGTGTGAGAGATTTGTAAAGACTCAAAATAAGAGACTGAATGGAGTCTTTGAGACTTCTTGTTTTTCAAGCGTTGTTCTTGCTGTGCCAGAAGCCAGGCTAGCAGTGTATGCTGAAACGTGGCACTTGATTCTTGGGAATTAGCATGGATTTTTTTCTCTCCTGAAGTCTTTTCTACCTGATAGAAGTCTATAAGAGAGGTTTACTGCTCCTAGAACTACGAGCACCTAGCAGGCTCACCAGCAGGCTTCAAAGTAGAATTTTAAAAGGGAGCAGGTCGTTTCTGTGTCACAATGTCTTTTCCAGGTGTCAGTGATATTTTCCAGTCCACCCCACAATCAAACCCAGGGCTGTAGAAGTTGAATGTTAAGAAGTCAGAGAGGCCGAATGTGCACCCCTGACTTACTCTGCGGGTGGAGCATTCACCCACGGTGAGGGAAGAGTGCTGTCCACATTGGTGAACCAGTAGCCAACGCAAGAAATAATAAATCCTTGTCCTTTTCAGCAAACAAGCCAAATGCTGTTTTTCTGGGCATAATTGTTGAGACAAGAGCGATACGTACTTCCGCTGGGCAAATCTAAATTGCTGCGACAGTGGTATCAGTACTTTGAAACTCAGACACACCGTTTGATGAGAACGTATCCCAAGCTATCACAAAATGCAGTAACTGTTTGACAGAGGTTGAGAGTCGTATCAGGGATGTTTCACTCAATAGCAACTGTTTAATTCTGAAACCTGTGGCTCAAACTGGTAGAGACACTGAATCTCATGAGGCTGCACAGTTAGAGGTGCAGTGTGGGTATGGGCAGACCAGCAGCGTGCTGCTGAATGAGGTTGGCCGTGATGGTGTATCCAAGAAGAAATGGCAGGTAAACAGTTGAAGTCTGCCAGGGAAGGCAAATTCCCTGAAATCTGAAAATTTTCCAGAAAGTGTGGAGAAGAATACCTGTGTGATAGCTGTGCCCAGATAAAGATGATTTGAGTGGGAAGGAAAAGGAAAATTAAGAAAAATAAAAGTGTTTTAATCTGGGATACTGTTTGTACGTGATTGTGAATTAAATACTAAAATAATTATTTTTTTCAAAGCTTTTGTTAGGTTCAGATTTGAACAAAATGTTTGGAAACATCTACACAAACCACTGAGTCATTTTTCAGCTAGTTTATTTGTGGGCTGAGTGCAAAGGGATGGTCAGCGGACAGAAGTTTTAGGAAGTTGAACCGGTGGGAAAACAGAGCAAATTATTCTGGAGCTGGGCTGGGCAGCAGGCAGCAGCAGCCATGTCTCTGTGCTCAGACTTGCTGAGATCTAAGAAACTCTGATTTTGATGGAGCAGGCATTAAAGTGCAGACTTTCAGAAGCTGTATTTGTTTGGCTTCCAATTACTGCATTTGGGACTGTGCAATCTTCCTCTCCTTGATGGTAAACGTGCAGCCCTCCAAAACTGAAGACTGAAAACTGGAAAGGTCTTGCTGGAGGTGCTCCAAATATTACATAGGAAAGCAGGTTAGTCTCCCAACAAATACTGAGCATTCAAGTGCCTGTTCAGGCTATATTTCAACCTGAGAAGTCTACTGCAACTGCAGGATTTTCTCAGCCCTCATTTTAATTGCAAATTATTTAATTAGCATCAGCCCATGTACTGCAGCATCCTATCATTTGATGCAGTAAGGAAGATCAGGGGTCTAGAGGAACTTTTGAAGATGCTATGTGGGGCAGCACTGTGTGTTAGGAAAATGCACTGTTCTGATATGAACCAAAAGGGAGAAAATCATGGCAAAAAAATGCTGGAAAAGCTCCGTGGAATGATTGTGAGAGGAGCCCGATCCATTTGTTTTTCAAAATCACAGTGCTTTAGTGGAGGAAGAAAACTTAAAACAGGGTAAACATCAGGCAAGAGTTTTGTACATAACAATCTGCCACAGGAGACAGGAAACCTGCAGCTGATGAATACTGGTTCTGAGCTAACAGATGATTAATTAACATTAGAAAGTTACATAGCATGTTTTTGTGTTGGTCCTACAAGAACTTCTTTTGCATTTCGAGTGCAAGTAAGTCAAAGTAGCTTTAAATAATATGGAAGAACAACATGATCATTGCAGGATTTAATTTTGCTGGTTTGTTTTTTTTCTTTCCCTCATGCAAACACAGATTGAACCAAAAACTGGACCACTAAGTGGTGGAATTCTTTTGACCATAATGGGATCTAATTTGGGAATAAAAGCAGAAGATGTAAAAAATATAACGGTGGCAGAGGAGGACTGTATTTTCAAAGAGGAATTCTACTCTGTTTCCACAAGGTAATTTCTGGATATTTTTCACAAGATTTTAGAAGAAAAAAAGGAACTTCTGTGCATTTTCAGGAGAAGATGATCTTCCTGTGTTATAAAAAGTTATCAATAGAAGAAAGAGCTAGTGCAATATACGTGCAATATTTCATAGTAACACCTTTGAGTCTTTATTTAAAATTGTTGTAGATTCTAATACAGCAACAAAGTTACAATAGCATACTACCATCCTGCTTCTGATTGATTGAATTTTTTTTCCTTATTTGTTTGAAAAGCTTTTATAAACTATTACTGCAAATATCTCAAGACTATTTATTTGGTTTTAAATTAAAGGCATTGTAGGTATGCATCTCATCATTAAAACCTTTGCTAAATCTGAACCACAGTGCAGCTAAGCATACAAGATTTATGGGAAAGTAGGCAAAGCAAGAGGAGGCTTAAATCTTTTTGTTTTAGTCCAGCCACAAAGTTTCTTTCCTGGGGGCAGGGAGGGTGCCTAGAGTTTTGGTTTAGCTTTAGATGACTAAGTTTCATCGCAAAGCCAACAAGACCATGGATGTTGAATTGCCTAAGCAGGTTGGTAGATGTTTTGTGGATTCCTTGTCACACTCTTAAGCAGTGCCAAAAATTAAAACAAAGTACCTAAATTCTTCTAGGTATCTAGGTGTTTACTACAGATTATATCAAGCAACTAATTTCAAGAGGGAAATACCCTTTTGATTTTAGCTGATGAAAAGCATAGCATGAAGGTTCAGTAGTGATATTAAGAGTAATGACAAATTTTAAGCAGTGTGATTTTTCTTTCATTCACTTTTGATATTTAAAGCTGCAATTGAAACCTTGGCTTTCTTTCCCTTCAGTTAATTTAAAGTGTAGTACAGTAACTTTTTGCTATTTCTGTGGCATGTTTTGAAAGGGATTTTGAAGATACCTAAGTGATTTTTTTAGCTTTTGAAAAATGTTTAGTTTTAGTCAGCTTGTGGATCAGGCATTTAGAAGCTTCCCAGGCCCCTAGGACTTAAGGTTGTACATATAGCTGTTTATCTCTTACTGCTTCCCAAATCCATTGCCATCACTCATGCATTTACATGTGCATCACCATCCACAAAATTCCCAACTCTTTTACAGTCGTCTTTTCCCATTCCCTATTTTCAGTGTTTGCAAAAGCTGCACTGAATTGCAGCATAGCCTTACAAGAATTTCCTCAGCCTTTTGGCTTTTTCTGAAGCTTTTTGATATTTTTAAATACATGGAAAGGAGCCAGAACTGAGATGACTTGATCCTTGTATCATAGCAACATTACTGGTTTCCTAAGCTCTGCCAGTGTGGTAATGGGTGAGAACAAATGCAACTTGCATAATGTCATTTATCAACAAATTAGGGGGTTTTGAAGGATGTTCTCCATTAGGGAAGCCTTTGAAAAAAGAGGTTATTCAAATTCTCCAAGTAGATATCTCTAATTTTCTGGCTTTATCTTCCTCCATTCTTTTGTTTTATTATTACTTTCTGTTATTTAATTTTTTTTTAAAAGTGCCTAGTCTTGCTCCCCTATCCTCCTGCAGTAAAAAGCGAGTCTTTTTTAGGAGACAGTTGCTCCCATGGGCAGGAAGGCAGCGAGATTTAAGGCACTTAAGGCTGCTTTCTGGCTCTGCGGTGATTTAATTGTTGGCCTTTGAGAAGTCGTGTTCTCATTCTTTGTAGTTTTCCATTTGTAACGTGGGGGAAGGGAGGCAATGCCAAGGCTGGGGAGGGGAGAGAACTTTTTTCAATTAAAATCCCTGCTAACCACACTACGGCGTTTCCCTCACACACACACACACGCCCTGGCCCCGGCCCCCGACTGCTTTCCCTAGCTTGACATATGGTAGAAATTCCTCCAAAGGCACTGTTTCCTGTTTCTGCCTGACAAGAAGATACAACTTCCAAGAATACAGTAGAGAGATGATGAGGAACAGGCTCAGGCAGCCGTACACATGCTAGGACATGCAAGAATGCAGAGAATTTTGTCCACTTGCCAGTACCCAGGCAGAAGAGTCTGGAGTGATCTGCAGAGGGACTTGACAATCCTTTTATTATAAGTCCCAATTTAAGTACATTATACCCAGTAATTTGGGGTTGTTGGTTCTTTTTTCTGTTTGTTGTTTGGTGTTTTTTTAAGCAGTCGTCCACTGCTTAAGGAAGAATAGCAATAATCCTGGAGGGAAGGAGCGAAGGAAATGAGCAGTGATCCTCAGTGTGTCCCATATGAAACTGTCTGCCTGCACAGGCAGCAAACATTATATACCTCCTTATCAAACTGTATTATCAGCTCTCCATTAAGCATTTGTCCCAGTTTTCAAGTGTGTCGAATCCTTATTGCATTTTCGTGCTTGTGTTCTGTGGATCACCTGTTTGAAATAAAAATTTAAACATCTCAGCTATCACTCAGCAGCAGTGTCAGTTAAGGCAGTGTTTTCTTGGCCAGTGTTCCTTGACCTCTGATTTTTGTGTGGGTTATCTGAGGATTTATTCTAGAGAACAGTAATTCTAAAGGGATTTTGATCGTAGGTGTGAAAATACAGTAGTTTAAAGCTGAAAGATAGGAGGATGCAAACCAAAAGTATCAGCAGATAAAAGACAAAGTTGTAAGATAGCTGACAATTTGATTCTTATATCAAGGAGGGTGGGGGTCCTTCGTTTTTTTAACATCACAAGGTCCAGTGAAAACCTTGTGTAGGGTTGGAGAAGTTCACCTCTGACTTCTGGGCTGAATTTGAGTCTTCTGTAGAAGCCAGCTCTACTAATGGACTGCTGAAGTAGCTGCTGTATACAGTGCTCAGATTTCAGTTTTACCTACTTTTAGATAGAAGGTGAAACTATTCTTGAGTGTTTTTGCTGGGAATCTGAGACAGCATTCAAGTACCTTGTGTAGGGTAAAACGAAGTTAGTGCTTTTGCTGGCAGTGTGTGGTAGCTCACGTACATTGCACTGGTATTGCAGCTGTTACTTCCAACAGATAAACTTACATTCTTTCTTGTTAGGATTGTATGTCAAGTTGGACCAATGAATGAACCGAAACAAGGTCAAATTGAAGTTAACATCAATGGAAAATTAGGTAAATCACCAAATGAAGTGCTGTTTACATACCAGGTAAGTGCATTTTTTTGAAAGACCTGTTTTATACCTTGTGCGTGACTGAAGTTAGAAGTTACATGTTAAGCACAGTCACTTGTGTTTGCCTTACAAACTTTGTTTTATCAATAGCCCTGTCATTCAAGTATGTTAGGAAACACTGAACTTGAGCATTTCTTTGTACAAAGGGTGTACGAAAAATCTATGCTGATCAATAGATCCAGAGTCTCAAAATAGCATGATGTTGTTTGCAATTCAAATTAAAAAGATGTGGTGGAAAAGAAACTGTAATAAAGTTATTCAGTAGTGACATAATATCTCTTAAGTGTCACTACAGAATAAAGAAAAAGCAGCACTGCAAAAGATTAGGTATTCTTTAGACGCACAGTTGGCACGCTATTTTAATCATAGTGTTTAGTCTAGCCAATGTTCTTAATTACAAGAATGGATGCAGAGCAGCTGAAGAATAAGTAATGAAGGTACATTAATTTTTTAATAATTTATTTCATTCAAAAATACGGCATGCAGAGCCACAGACAGCATGATGTGTGTTCTTATTACACATGTGCTTTGTTTTCAGTGTTGCTACGAAGGAGAATTTCATTTGTGTCTTAATTGCTTTACCCTAAATGTGGTGCAAGGTTGTGGCTGGTCTAGCCTGTAGTTTTAGCAGCAAGTAGCTTTATCTGTATCTATGAGGTCTTCAAAATTTGTAAGAGCTTGTGACAGTTGAAAGATTTAAATAATCTCTGTCCTCATATTGATACTTAAAATTACACCTATAAACTGTAAATCTATAAACATAAAGGGAGGGTTACGCTTTCATCTTCTCCCTTATTTAAACATCTGTCTCATTAATTCTTGATACCTTGTGAGAAGGAAAGGAAAGGAGTCGGCAGTAAGTGGTGGAATAAGTCAAGAATGACATTCAACTGAGAAGAGGGTATTCTTGTTTTCGTAAAACAGACTAGAAGTGTCTTTCCATAATTTCCAAGCAAATACCTCCTCTCCCTGATGATATCTCTGAAAAAAAAACACCCTTTTTGCTTGAAAATGTCCTCTGTTCCTTTGTGGAAATGTAGGTTATAATTAAGTCTTTCTTCGTTGATCTGATTTGTCTTAACCAGAGAGCAACAACATAATCTCCCGTGTTTATGTGTTTGTGGTCTCTAAGACAGAGGCCATGACAGTAAACCCTGCATGAGATGAGATTTTGACATGAGCCTGTTGTGATGGTTACGTTTTACACCAGTTCTCCTATGCTTCTCCTGTGTGTAAAGATTCTCCCATGGTTTGCATGAAAACCACAGGAAGATGTTATGGAGTGTGTTGAAATGTAATCTGAAGCCCCCATGTAGGCTTCGAAGCCTGTCTGTGAACTTGTTCTGGTGTGATTCCCTGCTCAGACCATCTGGGAGGCGAGATAAGCAGCCACTGCTTTTGGCTACTTCAGGGAAAGACTCTTGATTGCCCATCAGTGAGGTGCTAGGAGAAACCGCTGTGCACAGGCTTCATCCAGGTGGATGTTTCCCTGCACGTCCAAGACCCCCTCTGTGCTGGTCTCTGCCTGCATGTGGTTACTGGAATATCAGATACCTGCTGTTAAAGAGCATTTTTATTTACTGCAAAAATCTTTCCATGGAGACTCTACAAAGTGCAAAGCAATGGCAAGTAATACAGTTCATGCCTTAAAATTGGTGAATTTGGTTTCTAGTTTCATTTCTCTTTCTTCCATGAGAAAATGAAGCCAACTGTGGACTGCAGTAGGATTAAAGTCTGTATAGGGGCATCGCATTCACATGCACCTCTACAAGTGTGACACGAGTGCTTTTGGCATGAGAACAGACTATCAGAACAGACAATCACGTCAGTTGATGTTGTCTTAAAAGATACAATCTTGTTTCACTGCTGTTTTCAGGCAGTTCTTTGGTGACTTCTTTCAGCAGACATGCGAAATCTGTGCTTTGTTTAAAACCTTTTCTATTCAGTATATACAAAGGAAAGAAAATACTCTTCTTTCCAAGAGCCTTCCTAAAATAAATTTTCTATTATGTATTTCCCCCCTTTCTTTGGCACTTTGTCTGGTTACCCTCCTGCTGGTAATTATCACCAGTTTTCTTGTGTGCTCTGATCACCCGAAGCACAATAGCTTTAGCTTTAGCAGTTACTGCTCTAAATGCCACGTGTGGCGGCACAGGGCAGGAGTGCAGAAGCAGGGCAGGAGGAGACAATGCCCGGTGTGTCTGCATACACCGGAGGTGTCACCATGCTCCTCATGGTCTCAGCCTCGTACATGTGACTGCTGTCTGCCACCAAAAGCACGTAGTCGGTTATAAAGTAGTTGGATATAAAGAATATTTTTTTTATGATGAGGGTTGGAACACGTTGCCCAGAGAAGTTGCGGCTGCCACATCCCTGAAGGTGTTCAAGGTTGGATGGGGCTTTGAGCAACCTGGTCTGGTGGAAGGTGTCCCTGCCCATGGCCAGGGGGTTGAACTAGATGATCTTTGAAGGTCCCTTCCAACCCAAACCATTCTGTGATTCTGTAAGTACTACTACATTTGACTCTTGTTGATACCCAGTCTGAACAATGAGATGCATTTTTAAAGCTGGATTGGTGAGGATCAATGGTCAGCACAACCTGGGGCTCAGACTCGTGCTTCTGCCCCATCTACCAGCACCACGCATTTCTGAGCTGAGTAACATGTGAGACCTCCATTATATGGGTCAAAAATCTGGTTAAAAGGGAAGCCATGGTTTCAATTTAAAATGATTTCTGAACTAAAATGCCCTGGTGCACAAGTCTGTGCTGTGCAGTAAATGCCTCATATATATTTGCTGTATAACAGGGGAAGAAAGCTCTGTTTCTCCCTACCCCTCACAATTTCGCTATCCAACCTGAGTGCTGTTCAAGTCCAGCCATACCAGTGAAATTAAACTCTGGTAACCCAGTGCTCCTCTACTGACATTTCTGTGTTTCACTATAAGCAGGATCAGGCAATAACCATTCTCCTGTTTAGTGAAATAGAAATGAAGTGATGCTAAATTTCAATATCCAGCTATGTGGTACATCTGGAGTGCTGACAGCTTGGCTGGTCTCTAAGCAGCTGGAGCAGTAATATGGCTAAAGGCGAGTCCTGCTTTTTTTGCTTGTTGTTAACTTTATCTGATTGCCTTGTTACTATGACAGTGAGAAGCAGTATCAAAGGAAGGAGTTAAGCTTTTCCTAAGTATATGGCCCAGATTTGCTGATCCCATACAAGCATGATTCCTTTCTAGAATACCTCATCTTCAGACTTGAGCCACCAGAATGAGAGCTTGGAGCTGGTTCTGGAATCTCCAGCGTCTGTTTTGCAAGAGCAATTCTGTGAGTTTAGACTATGCAGGTTAAAAAGACTGTATGGTTTCAGAAAGCTCAAATAAATGTAAGGTGGTGAAATTAGAGGTAGAACTTTGCAAAAGTGTAATACATTTCTGGGGTGCTGAAGGTAGTTTAGGGACTGGCTTGGAAATAATGACTTCTAGTGAATCAGGAAGTCTGTTTACCTCTGTTTACCTAAATGAGATGAATAACCAAAAGAGGAAGAAGGGGGAATAAATTAGAGTCTGATCTGAAAACAAATATGAACATGACGATTCACCATACTGGAAGTTTGAATGTGGACCTGAACAGCACAGTTACATTTAACAAGGTGCACTCTTCCACATTAATCTACTCCCAACTTGGCAGTTTCCTCTTACATCCATCCATCCTCTGCTTTCCTTCTCGATGTTTAAAGCAGTTGATCTAGGAGCTCTCACCAGTGCAGTGCCATTAGTGCCACAAGGCTTTTGTGGAGGGTTTTAGCTCCCTCCTTCATTTTTCTTCCCGAGTCTTTACCTCAACACATGCATTTTACACTGTAGTTGGGGGGTTTGGGTGGGTTTTTGCAGGGGCTATTACATGCTTATTGCCATTACAATTGATGCTGGTAAACCACACATCCACAGCAGTCTGGAATTTCTTCTGGAGGTTCTTATTTTATTCTTGAGTCCTGGACCACATCTTGTTTGTGTGTCAGTCTGCATAGGGGTCAGGAGAACTCCTGAGTAGCTGAGAGTTTTATCAAAGTTAGCCCTTCCTCGTATGAGTATTATTAGACCTAATTCTCTGCTCTCTCTTCTAAGGTATGCACTTCAATACATGTCCCACCGTGTAGTGCTCGTGGTTCTGCTTGAAAGGTGCCAGTGAATCATACTGGCTGTATGATAATGCAGACTTTCCAGTCGTGCATGCTGCCAGTTCTCCATCAAACCTGTTTAGCAAGGCTCTGTGGTCTTTTCAGAAAATCATGTGGTGTCTGCCTCACGATAAAAAGATGCTACCTGCAGTCCAAAAAATTAGTTGTTTAAAATACTAACCCTTTGGATAAGCATCCCATCCACAGCAGACAGCACTGAACGTGCATTGCCGGGGCACAGGGAGTGGGTGGAAGCATTTGATCAGCTCGTGTGGTGTGAGGTTTGGACAAAGCACCCCAGAAAGGCAGGACTCAGCTCACTTCTCTGCTGTTGCAGAAATAACCCAGGAGCTGACCCTGGCTTATGTTGTGGATACTGTGATGAGGCGAGCCGGTGGGTCAGGTCAGCCACTGCGGTGAACACCAGGCTTGCCAAGAGTGCGCAATGGAAATTCTCTGGTTGAATATCCTGTGAGTGGGTGGCTTGTCTGAAGAAACAAGGAGCAGGCTCCTTTGAGTCTGAGAAAGGAGGGAAGTGGAGAGGAAATTCCTAATGACTTGCTTGCCCTGTTCAGAATCTTAATTCAGCTCCTGCAGTTACCTTAATAGTCCATGAAATGACATTTTGACCTCCAAGAAGGTGGCTGGTGTCTACAGGACTTCATGGGCTATGCCCTTAATGCCTTTAATTTTGTGTGTGTTATATGCAAAGGTGGGCAGAATATCTTGGCTTTCAGTGTGGGGCAGATAATTTTGGCAACACATTAGTTGTTTTACAGACCTGCTTCAAGAGTCAGA